TTGAGATGGCTAATCCAGTATGTTGTGGCTGAAGAAATTACTGGGTCTTTAACATCTACAGATGTGAACAAATTATCAGGATAATAACTACAGATTTATATCAGTGCTATTAGAGATTTGTGGTTCTCCAACATTTCTCATCATTGCTATACCACAAGCAACTATGGCCTTAAATATTTCAAATTAGTAGCTCTAACCCTACCTTCCTTCTTATCTAATTTATTGTATTTAATACTTTGTGTTATTTAAAATAATACAGCATTTATAGCAAGGTTTCAGCTGGGTGCATTCTTGGCCAATTTATTCTGTTTTTCCTGAAGCATGCTGCTGCCAGGCTGATTTTGCCAGGCATTTTATTAATATCTGGTCATTGTTCTATTGTTAGTGCTTATTAAACCAAGATGACAGGATTTTAGGGTCATGCATTTTCTTTTTTTTGCTAAGGGAAGTTCTTTGTTACTGATTCAGATAACAATTCTAAATGCCATGTGAACTTGGGACAATATATGTAAGAATTATTATCTCACTTAAGGTACCAGGAGCTCTTTTTCTCTTTCTTATTTTGTTTTTTCAACTTTTTAAGTTCTGGGGTACATGTGCAGGATGTGCAGGTTTGTTACATTGGCAAACGTGTACCATGGTGGTTTGTTGCACAGATCAACCCATCACCTAGGTATTAAACCCAGCATCCACTAACTATTCTTCCTGATGCTCTCCCTTCACCCCATCCTCACCCCCACCCCCTAACAGGCCCCAGTGTGTGTTGTTCCCCACCATGTGTTCATCTGTTCTCATTGTTCAGCTCCTACTTATGAGTGAGACCCTGTAGTGTTTGATTTTCTGTTCCTGCACTGGTTTGCTGAGGATGCTGGCTTCCATCTCTAGCTGTGTCCCTGCGAGGGACATGATCTCATTCCTTTTTATGGCTGCATGGTATTCCATGGTGTATATGTACCACATTTCCTTTATCTAGTCTATCATTGATTGGCATTTAGGTTGATTCCATGTCTTTGCTATTGTGAATAGTGTCAAAATAAACATACGTGTGTATGTGTCTTTGTGGTAGAATGATCTTCTTTGGGTATATACCCAGTAATGGGATTGCTGGATCAAATGGTGTTTCTGCCTCTAGATCTTTGAGGCAGAAACATTGTCTTCCACAGTAGTTGAACTAATTTATACTCCCACCAACAGTATGAAAGCATTCCTTTTTCTCCACAGCCTCCCCAGCATCTGTTGTTTTCTGACTTTTTAACAGTCTGCCATTCTGGTTGGTATGATGCATTTTTTTAATGATCAGTGATGTTGAGCTTTTTTTCATATGTTGGCCCCATGAATGTCTTCTTTTGAGAAGTGTCTGTTCATGTCTTTTGACCACTTTTTAATGGCGTTGTTTTTTCTTGTAAATTAGTTTAAGTTCCTTGTAGACTTTGGATATTAGATTTTTGTCAGATGGATGGATTGTACAATTTTTCTCCCTGTAAGTTGTCTGTTCACTCTGCTGATAGTTTCTTTTTGCTCTGCAGAAGCTCTTTAGTTTAATTAGATCTAATTTATCAATTTTGGCTTTTGGCATTTTTGTCATGAAATCTTTGCCCATGCCTATATCCTGAATGGCATTGCCTAGGTTTTCTTCTACGGTTTTTATAATTTTGGGTTTTACATTTAAAGGACCATTCTTTTCTAATTGGAGAAGTTAGGATTGATTAGCTTTGGTTTTTCTGCCCATTAATATGAGATGTTGGGTACAGGGGAACAAGCAGTTAGAAAAGAGAATTTGTAATTATTTTAGTGACAAAAGATTATAATGGAGACTTAAAAAATACAAGAAAATTCTCTTAATCCCACTGCTCGGAAATAATCCCTATTAACATTTTGATATATTTTCATCTTATTTTTCTATATGAAATTGGGGTTATATTGTATATACAGGTTTGTTTTATAACTTGTTTTTATCACTTATTTGTCCAGGCTTCCCCATCTTATTACATATTCTTTTAGAACTTTTATTTTTTTTGAGACAGAGTCTTGCTTTGTCACCAGGCACCAGGCTGGAGTGCAGTGGCATGATCTCAGTTCACCGCAACCTCTGCCTCCCGGGTTCAGGCATTTTTCCTGCCTCAGTCTCCCAAGTAGCTGGGACTACAGGCACGCACCACCATGCTCAGCTCATTTTTTTTTGTATTTTAGTAGAGACAGGGTTTCACTATATGGGCCAGGATGGTCTGGTCTCGAAATCTTGACCTCGTGATCCGCCCACCTCAGCCTCCCAAAATGCTGGGATTACAGGCATGAGCCACAGCTCCTGGACCTTTAGAACTTTTAAATAGCTGTATTATATATTCTCATTATAGATTTATCAGTTTATACATTTCCTTGTTGTGTTGGATATTTGGGGTTATTTGTAACCCTTTGCTTTTGTAAGTAAAGCTGTAGTGAGCATTCTTGGCATACATACATTTGCAAATATCTTGGATTATTTCCACAGGATATTTTTAAAGACCATATATTCATAGTACATGGGGTATATATGCTTCTATGGCTCTTGAAACATAATGCCAAATTGTGCTCCAGGATTGCTACATGTGCTAGTTTATAATCCCACTTTTCACTGTGTGAGAATATCCATTTTACCACATCTTTTTCAAAATGTAGTGGTAATCCTATGATAATAATTATTTATTTTAAAAATAATTAGGTAAAATTTGCATTTCTTTGATTACTAGTGAGGTTGAAATTTTTTATATGTTTAATTTTCTTTTGTATTTTGTAAGCTGTCAAGGGTTTTTAAAAATGCGGGTTTTTTTCAGTAACGTGTTTATTTTGTATTAATTTGTACCTAGTGAAATATATTAACTAATTGTTGTATATGTTGCTTCTTATTTAGATTTTGTCATCTAATCTTACGAATGCTGTGTATCATCAAAGTTCTAAATTTTATGTAATCAAATATGTTACTTTTTTATTATGATTTCTCTCCCCAAGTCTTCTCTGAATGTTTAGAATGACTTTTCTTAACGCCAAGATTAGATAATGCCCTCTGGTCCATAGAATGTATTTTAGTGTCTTTTGTCTTCTTGTTTTTTGTCTTGTTTTTTTTTTTTTTTTTTTTTTTTTTTCATTCAATTTTTAATCCATTTGGAATTTTGTTTAGATACAAGGATTTTGTTTTTTCCTCTCCCAATTTAAATAATTCTCCCAACAGCATTTATTGACAATTCTATTTCCACTGATTTTCTTGGTCACTTTAATTTTCATATGTACCACCATTGTGTATATTGTGTAAATCCCAATTTTGGAATTATCAGAGTTTATATTTTTCTATCTCATGGTTTTGAAATGGTATACGATTGTTTTTGCACTTCTTGATTACTAGTGATGTTACATGTCTTTTCACATGTTTATTGACCTTTTTGTATTGCTTGTTCAGATCTGTGGCTAATTTTTCAATTAGTTTGTATTTTCATGGATTTGTAACAATTCTTTATATATTCTAGTTAGCAATTTTCTGTTCTATGTATTACAACTATGTTTTCCTAGTCCATGATTTGACTTTTAAATTTTTTGTTATTAAATTTTAAGGTAATTAATTTTGTCAATCTTTTGTGGTTTGTGGGTTTTCTAGACTTAATTTGACAGATGCTTACTGAACATCTATGCTTCAGGCACTATTTTGGGTACGTGGGATATATCATAAACAAAATACGCAAGATTTCTAGAGTTCACATGCTAGAAGCTCAAGAAATACTCACTAAAAAATTCCATGAGCCGGGCGCGGTGGCTCAAGCCTGTAATCCCAGCACTTTGGGAGGCCGAGGCGGGTGGATAACGAGGTTGAGAGATCGAGACCATCCTGGTCAACATGGTGAAACCCCGTCTCTACTAAAAATACAAAAAATTAGCTGGGCATGGTGGCTCGTGCCTGTAATCCCAGCTACTCAGGAGGCTGAGGCAGGAGAATTGCCTGAACCCAGGAGGCGGAGGTTGCGGTGAGCCAAGATCGCGCCATTGCACTCCAGTCTGGGTAACAAGAGCGAAACTCCATCTCAAAAAAAAAAAAATTCTATGAATTTTTTCCTGGAACTTTTTAAGTTTTGCTTTTTCAGTTTTAGGTCATTAATCTACCTAGAATTCATTTTTGTATGTGATGTGAAGTAAGAAATCTAGTTTTGTTCTTTTTTCCCTGTGTAAGTAACCAGTTATTCAAGTACCGTTTATTGATTAACACATTATTTATTCACTGTTTTGTAGTGACACCTCTGTTGGGTATCAAGTTTCTTCATTTGTGTGGGTTTGTTTCTGTGTCTGTTTTGTTCATTGGTACATTTCTCTGTCTTTGCGTCTGTATTACACTCTTAATTACTATGGTCCCATAATAAGCCTTGATATTACAGGTCTTCCTGCTTTGTCTTTAAAATTGTTTGACCTATTTTTAGTTCTTTCCTTTTTTTTTTTTTTTGAGACCAAGTTTCACTCTGTAGCCCAAGTTGGAGTGCAGTGGCGTGGTCTTGGCTCACTGCAACCGCTGCCTCCTGGGCTCCAGCAATTCTCATGCCTCCGCCTCCCCAGTAGCTGGGATTACAGGTGCCCGCCACCACACCTGGCAAATTTTTGTATTTTTAGTAGAGACGGGGTTATTACTATGTTGGCCACACTTGTCTCGACCTTCTGACCTCAGGTGATCTGCCCACCTTGGAAAGTGCTGAGATTATAGGTGTGCACCAATGCGCCCAGCCTCTATTTTTTACATATGGCATCCTGGAGGAGAGTGTTTTTGGTGTAGTGTTAAAAGTAGCAGCCCAATTGTAGAGTTGAAAAATGAATGAGTTGGAGAAAATAGAGATGGAGAAATTTCATCAGCTCTTTGCTACACACTTGACTATGAGAGGCAGGGGATCAAGAGAGACAAAATTTTGGACTTTATTGATATTATACCTTTTGAAATAAGTTAAAGTTGGTTCTTTGTGTTACATAGTTTGTCCTTCTCTTAATCATTCTAGCCTCCACCAGGCAGCGTGAAGATGCCTAATGTACCCAATACACAACCAGCAATAATGAAACCAACAGAGGAACATCCAGCTTATACACAGATTGCAAAGGTTAGTTCATGTTAATTGTATATCAATAATGTTTGCTTTCAGAATAAAAATAATTCTTTATATGGTTACATTTCTGTTGCTTAATTTTTAAGTCACTTTGAAGTCTGGATTTGCTGTCTTGTCATTCATCAAATACTCATTTCTCTTTATCAGCTTAGAACATTTGCTTTATTCCATTTTATTAGGAATTATTGAATTTGTGTATTATCTTGGTCTACAGTTGTATAGTGAAATTTTTATTGCCTTTGGTCTCACTTTTTAATGCAGACTACATTAAGGTAAAAGTGATGAAATAATAGATATTGTTGGGAGAGTGTTATAATGATAAAGTAACAGGCAGTGTTAGGAAGTAGAAGTTGGCACAAATCTGAGAAAAAAGATTAATAAGATGCCTGATAACATGTAAGGGCAAATTGAGTCATAATTTCATATTCACAACCTTTCACCTCATTCTCCTGTAACATTTAAGATACTATAAAATATTCTTGCATTGGCAGCCTTACATATCATTTAATTTGATTTATAGGAGCCAGTTCAGTTGCCCTTTTATCTGTTGTCTGTTTTCCTCAGCTGTTCCCATTGCCTCTGTTCTTCACTGATTTATGCGTAGAGGTCATCTTAATTTCATTTTCCAGATTACCTAAGGTTTCTGACTACTTTTCCTAAGCGCAGTTTTTCCTGTCCTAATGGAACCAACATTCCCACTGAGGCTTTTCTTTTCTTTTTTTTTTGAGGTGTGATCTTGGCTCATTGCAACCTCCGCCTCCCGGGTTCAAGCAATTCTCCTACCTCAGCTTCCCAAGTAGCTGGGACTACAGGCTCCCGCCACCATGCCCAGTTAATTATTTTTTAGTAGAGACGGAGTTTCACCACGTTGGCCAGGATAGTCTCAAGCTCCTGACTTCGTGATCCGTCCACCTCGGTTTCCCAAAGTGCTGGGATTACAGGTGTGAACCACCCCACGCCTGGCCCCACTGAAGGTTTTTAGAGTTCAAAGACCAAATGGACCAAATTTCCCATAATATTTTCTGTTAACTATGATCTTCAGTAAATTCCTGTACCTTGGAAGCACTTTTGAATTAGGTTTCTCTCATAGTAGAGAAGTAGGAATCAGTATATAAATGTTAAAATATTTTATACTTCTGACACTGTATTCACTTACTGATATTTTTTATTTAGGAACATGCATTGGCCCAAGCTGAACTTCTTAAGCGCCAGGAAGAACTAGAAAGAAAAGCCGCAGAATTAGATCGTCGGGAACGAGAAATGCAAAACCTCAGTCAACATGGTAGTATCCAAAGAAATTTAAAACAAAAATAACTTTTAAACACTTTACATTATATCTATACTAGCTCCTGGGTCACTTTGACTTGTGGATGAACCCTGTGCTGTTTTCCTGTTCTAATAAGGAGATCAGACACAGGAGATTGCCTGCTTGAAACTCTGTAGCCCTCTGATCTTGGCTGATTTGCATAGTCTTTTGTTGATAGGGTAGAACAGTGTTAGCCTCATCACACAGAAGGTGAATGTGAATATGATAATTTTGGTTTATTCTAAGGCCAGGAGCCTTTGATTCTGCAGTTAGACCCTCCTTGGTTCTATTCAACCCTTCTGAGTACATTTGCATGTACCCTACATTTGACTCTTACCTGATTTATTCAGTTCAGTTTTCATATTATCTGCTCCAGTCCTCACAAGTATTTTGTCAAATCATGTTAGAAAAATTGGAAACTTAAAGTATTCATATGGTGCCAAAGAAATAAGTGGTGAATTGTTTGCAGTGAATTTCATTCAGTTTGTGCCTGCCAAAGATCCCTTCGAAGGAGTCTCTTAGGGAAAGCTAGCATCTCGGGTAAGAAAAGATGAAAGAGCTAGATAACTCATTGTTAGGATGTCTGGGATAGTGATGCAGTGCAAAGCTAGAACAATAACAATATATGGAACTACTATGTCTTTTTATCTTAGAATGTGTAAGTAAGTCTAGGGCCGGGTGAGGACACATTTGTCCTGGGTCATTTTCTTGCTTGCAGCAAGAGGTAGCATCTATAGAAGGAGAAACTAAAAAGTTTAACTGGGACCAGTGTTTCTGAAGTACGTGTAACTAAAATCTGTCTTAATTCTTTAGCACTGGCAAATACAAACTATTTTTATGAGAGATGTTTCAGTAAAGGCAGTAACAAAGAGTAGGAAATCAACAATTAGACTGCTGTATGTTAGTGCGTTTTAGTATTTTCCCCCTCTTAACTCATACTTAAATCCTCAATACAATCCTGTGAAGGGTGGTACAGTTTTTATTTTCATTTTACAAATGTGGAAACTAAGGCTTAGAGGAGAGAGTAAGTGCCCAAGGCAACTTTGCCAATAAGTGGCTAGCCACTTGTGGTTCCAGAGCCTCTCTTCTTTACAACTGTTCACTGCTTCTTCCCGAATAGTATGAGATTTGTATGGGAAATGAACTGTATGAAATTTGAGTAGTATGATAAATGGAACAGAGGAGACTCCTTGGGGAGAATCAGAAATAGGTCATTGTTATTTGTACTGGTCTGGAAAAAGTACATAAAATTGAATTTTTAAAAATTGTGGGATATAACATCTAAAGTTAGGAAATGGCCTTAGGTGCTGTTTTTACCTCTTGTTTTTTATGCTTTGACGTCTTTTTATTTCCCCCACCATTTTTCAAGTCTTACCTTTAATCTGATTTCTTTATATTGACACATTTTTTTCCCCTTCACGATTAGAATTTGCTTTTCTCTGAGTTTTTTTATTTTTTATTTATTTTTTTTATTGTTTTTTTTTTAGATGGAGTTTCGCTCTTGTTACCCAGGCTGGAGTGCAGTGGCGCGATCTCGGCTCACCGCAACCTCCGCCTCCTGGGTTCAGGCAATTTTCCTGCCTCAGCCTCCTGAGTAGCTGGGATTACAGGCACGCGCCACCATACCCAGCTAATTTTTTGTGTTTTTAGTAGAGACGGGGTTTCACCATGTTGACCAGGATGGTCTCGATCTCTTGACCTCGTGATCCACCCACCTCGGCCTCCCAAAGTGCTGGGATTACAGGCTTGAGCCACTGCACCCGGCCTTCTCTGAGTTTTTAAAGAGGTTCTATATTTCCTCAGCTTCCTTATCATGACTGTTTCATGTTTTCTTTGATTTAGGGTTTTCGTGCATGTATCTTTTGGATATTATTTTTTTCCCCAATTTTGAGTATTCTAAATTTGATTCTTTGATATTGATTTAATCTTGGACTTAACAGAAAACTTGAAAAAATTAGAAGCTAGTCTCTCTCCACCTGGATTAGGAATTGTAACAGAATTATATTTAAAGATTTAAGATGCTAAGGAGAAAATTGAAGTTTAAAAACTGGATGGCCTTTTCATGCCAGCCAAAGTCTTGGGACTTTGTGAAATAAATCTGTTTTAGGGCAGAAGCACTGGATATCTGCTTTCTTTATGTTTCTTGTTTTTTCTTTTTCATTTTTTTTTTTTTTTTTTTTGAGACGGAGACTTGCTCTCGTTACCCAGGCTGGAGTGCAATGGCACAGTCTCAGCTCACCGCAACCTCCGCCTCCTGGGTTCAGGCAATTCTCCTGCCTCAGCCTCCTGAGTAGCTGGGATTACAGGCACGCGCCACCATGCCCAGCTAATTTTTTTTTTGTATTTTTAGTAGAGACGGGGTTTCACGATGTTGACCAGGATGGTCTTGATCTCTTGACCTCGTGATCCACCCGCCTCGGCCTCCCAAAGTGCTGGGATTACAGGTTTGAGCCACCGCGGCCGGCCTGTTTCTTGTTTTTTCTATACATAAATGGTTCCTGCTAAACATGATATGATATGGCATGGGAAAATTATTTTACCATCTAATGTGCTATAAGGTGATGATATTCTGAGAAAACTTAAAAAAAATTTTAAAGCTTGTCTTTCAAAGTTCTAGGAATACAAAGATACAGTATTACAGTTTTTCTAAACTTTTATTAAAATAACAGAGTTTTTCTTTATTATGAAACCAAAAATAAGAATATCACATATTTGTTATAATGTAAATAACTTTTTCTTTTTTTACAAAAAATTTACAGGTAGAAAAAATAATTGGCCACCTCTTCCTAGCAATTTTCCTGTGGGACCTTGTTTCTATCAGGATTTTTCTGTAGACATTCCTGTAGAATTCCAAAAGACAGTAAAGCTTATGTACTACTTGTGGATGTGTGAGTATACAACAATTTATATCTTTGCTTAGAATTCATATTTTTGTTGTCAACATTCATATTTTTATTTCAAAGATAGTATAATAAACCAGTCTGCTTGTTCTATATATAGAGCTTAATAATCATGATTTCAGAGTGAAACACATCATATTTAGTTACTTCAGAATTGTACTGTATGTGACAATGTAAGTTCTTGGCTGAGAAAAATCTCTATATTGAGAACTGGCATTCTTTTGAGGAGAAGACAACTTCTCTGTCACATGGGTAAAATTTTGTAAGATTCTTTTTCCTTGAAAGATGATGTCGAGGCATGATTTGCTTGGAAAAAATTATGCATACTAATTTTTTGCAGAGGAAGGTCATTTAAAAGAATACTGTTAAAGTTAGGTCTTAGAGCTATTTTTAAAAAGAGGCATAAACTTATTATATAAACTAAGTGTTCTTTTTATAGCTTTGAGTAGAGTTTACTTGTTTTCAATTGCAATACTGTTATAATTGAAAGTAATACAGGACATTTTATTGAATGGAACATTAGGATATACATTTGGGGCTGTGATGCTCACATCACTTTGGGTATAATTACAGCTCATGGAATACTAAAAATATATCAAGCTGTTAACAGTTTTGCTGTGTGTGCATAGACCTCCTACTTACTCTGTTTCATTTTTATTTTCTAACAGTAGTCTCAGCCTTATTTGATATGTCAGAAGCGGAGGTAGCTGTTGAGGGTTCTCACATGCGCAACATCTGGGTTAGTGGATAATTTGTAGGATACATTCTGGATGGAGGAAATTTGCATGTTTTTACTTTATGATTAATGAGACTACCTCCCCCTTCCTTAATGGATGAGATAACTTTCCTCAAAATCTTTTAGGAGCATTCTTTATGTATGTCAAGTGCTTTTGGAATATGAGAAATGGTTCCTAATAGATAGTCTACTTTTAACTCTTTTAGTTTTTTTTTTTAAAGATATTTTTGATCTAGTATCTTTTGCTGAATCATCAGTGTCAGTAGTATATATTTTTAATATTAAATGTCTGATTCCATATATGTACATGCAAACTCTTAATATAGTATATGCATTTATATTTTATATATGTGTATATTTTTTAAATGGGCAGAAATTGGCCTAGCATTTAATTAATTTATTTATTTTGAGACAGATCTTGCTCTGTCACTTAGGCTGGAGTGCAGTGGGGCAACCTTGGCTCAATGCAACCTCCGTCTCCTGGGTTCACGTGATTATTTTGCCTCAGCCTCCTGAGTACCTGGGACTACAGGCATGTGCCATCATGCCTGGCTAGTTTTTGTATTTTTAGTAGAGACAGGGTATCACCATGTTGCCCAGGTTGGTCTCAAACTCCTGGCCTCAAGGGATGCCCCCACCTTGGCCTCCCAAAGCGTATGAGCCACCATACCCAGCTGGCCTAGCATTTTAGATGTGTTTTTTGACATAGTAAAAAAAATACAAATATATATTTTTTGAGATGGGGTCTTGCTATATTGCCTGGGCTGGACTCAGACTCCTGGCTCAAGAGATACTCCTACCCCAGTCTCCTGAGTAGCTAGAACTAGGAAAATATTTTTTTGGTGGAGGAACTGGGTGTTGGAAGAAAATTAGGCAAGGAATTTAGTAAACAGAGATTAAAAGGGAGGGATGGTTAATTTTTAACTAACTGCTTATTAACTATCAATGCTGATTATTTCACAATAGATCTGTTTTGTCTTAGAAATATATCACTTTCTGAGTCGCTCAGAAATAACATAGTTGATCGTAGTTTTCTCTAGCCCTGTCTATTAGGCATGTCTGTCAACTGTATTCAGAAGGCTCATGATTCCAGTTAGGGTTCTGTTTTGAAGAAGCATTATCTGGAACAAAGTAATTATTACTATTACCAGCTTAGTAATGTGCCTACATTTTATAGAATATAGCCTGTTTTAATACATTATTTTTAGGACATATTAACCTGTTGTTGATTTGGGGGTTGACTAATGCTTTCACACTCAGCCTCAATGAGAGCTAATATTTACCGAGGATTTACTTTTTGTGTCAGGCACAGTTCTAACCACTTTATATTATCTTACTATATTAAATCTTAGCCACACTGTGAGGGAAATACTATATTGTTTGGTTTTATAGATAGGAAAACTAAAACTTAGAGAATTTGAGTAACTTGTTCAACATTACGTAAGGAAGGAGGTGTGTATAGATTGACTAAAGAGCCCAGAGTCTAGATATCCAACTTCTACCATCTACAAAGAAGAAAGAATCCAAATGAAGAGATAATTTACATTTTAGCCTGAATGTGATGAAGATATTCTTTCAAAAGTACTTTATCTGAAGCAAATAATTTAAACTATAAATGAAATGAAGCAGGTAGAAATATTATGAAATGAATCTCAGCCTCTTTGAGTGTACGCTTGAATTAAAAAGGAAAAAATAAAAATAAGCCAGCTACATTAAAGACCATTTAGTGAAGATATTACACTGTTATAAAGTTATTTATGTTAGGTGTCTGTATTGTAATTCAGGACTTATTAAGAAGAATATTATAATAATGGTTGCAAATTTAGGTCATCTAATACCAGATTTGAATGCTTAGTGAAGAAAACTGGAATTTTATATGAAGGAGAGTTGTTCAACTTTTAAATCACGTAAACAAAATGGCCCAAAGATTTATTTATGTTTTGCCTACTCTTGGAGTCTCCAACATTGATATATCACTCACTTAAATTGGATTGAAATGAGCAGTATGGAATCATATTTTACACTTACCTTACCTTTCTATATGTTTTCTGAACTCTGCATAAGTGAACAGACTGTTCAGTAATTAGTCTTGGACATCTTAGTCTTCATTGGGATATAAGTAAATGATTTATTGATCCTGTTTCATAGAAAACATTTAGAAAAAATTTCGTTACACAAAATTAGATTGATATTTTCATCTATACTTGGAAGAATTTTCATGAACTTTAAAGCATAAGTATACATGTATTTTATCTTTTTTTCAGTGGATTAATAAATAACCTAATTTGAAAATTGCAATTTAAGGTAGAATGTTGTTAAGGTCTAAAACTTTTTTTTTTGAGTAGGAGTTTCACTCTTGTTACCCAGGCTGGAGTGCAATGGCACTATCTCGGCTCACCGCAACCTCCGCCTTCTGGGTTCAGGCAATTCTCCTGCCTCAGCCTCCTGAGTAG